GAATTTAGAGACAGTGGTTAACATCTATCTAATGAAAACATTCATGCAGATCTCAGATGCTTTGAAGAAACTGAGGTGCTTTCCGAGTTGTAGTGGTACTGACACCAGTGGTGTGACATGCTTGTCAAGATCACTGTCACCCGTAAAGATCAGCTTCTAGTTATTTAAACCTTATTCAGAGAGTTTGCCATTCTGTTGTTCTAAGGAAACTCTGATTTCCTGGATAGAGACTCCCTTGGTTAAAAAAAAACTCCCTTGGTCTCTCCTGGTCAGAAGATATATTTTTAGAATAGGGAGACAGATTCCATTCACTGATTCCCATTCCCTCAAGAAGGTAGCAGCTACTCAGCTAGTTTCACATACGTTCTCACTAACTCACTGGTACTGACCAGAGCAAGGAAATCAAATCATATCATCCTTGTTCCAACAAAGCATCATCTCAGACAAGTAATTTCCATCAAAAACTTTAAAATAGATCTTAAAACCCTTCTTTACCAGCAAGCCTATCAACTTTTATTATTACTAATTTCCTATCTTTTTCCTTCTTGGTTATTAAGTTTCCTGACTTCTTTTTTAAGCTTTTCTTTTTGAGAAGTACATTGAAATTCATTGGAATAAAATATGCTATAATACAAATATTGTTATAGTTATTATTAGAGATTCTAGGTCATTCTCTTTGGTGCATAAGGAAGGTCTATCTCTCTTGTTGCTCTGTATAGGTGTTATATAGCAGTTCAATACTTAGTCTGGGGTTTTTCTGATTGGTCAGGTGTCTCTAATTGTGTTAACACTCAGTTATATTCTTAGCATTTCTTTACAATTTGGCAGTTGTGATGAGCTCTGGGACAACACAACTGCAAGATGCAGTCTCAGTCAGAGCTCGGGAACAGGAATCCACAGGGAGGCCAGGCTAATAGGGAAATGCTCTCCAGACAGAGTGGACACAGGATGCCTGGCAGGAAGGAGACTGGGAAGAGAAAAGTACCCCGACAGCCTGAGAGAAAAGGGTGAAAAAGAAAAAGAGCCAGAAAGGTGGCAGGAAAGAGGA